AACGCGTAATGACAGCAGTCTAAATAACACCGACAGTCGTGTAGACTTGTCGGTAAATATAGTGGTCATGCGGTGCCAACTGTGGTAAAATTTGCGCGTGAACAGGATTAATTAGGCATGGAATGCCGGTTTTGCAGGCGCAGACTACCGGCATTTCACGAGTGGATATCTTTTCACGCGTAGTTTTACCCCAAGATCTTGGAGGCGCAAGAGCGCTACACTCCGACACTAACTGACTGTATCTATGTACCATCGACTCCTAGATTCGAGTGCGTTCGAGCGAGCGTATCAGCGGCGCGGTTCCTCCCACGTTGAGGCGTGCTTGATAAATTGATTATTTGAAGATCGCGACCGCTCTACGGCAATTGTGGCGATATTACTCTGCGAACTCCGACGTTATTGCGAGCATTATATCAGCCACGTGATGAATTAAATAAGAAATCTTCCCGTCGCGCTAACACCTAAGTAGAATTGAAACTAATGCACCTTTGATTTGTTTCTTGCGATATAGGCGTCAATCTCCTCCTGCGGAAGAGGATGAGCACGAACGCAGTCCGGTGGTCGTTGCTTTGCAGCCGGCTCAACTGGCACATTCTCAGATGGTGGTGGTGCATTTTGTTCGTTTGAGGTGAAGTTCTGGAAACCTTCGGTAGCACTAGATCTTTCTGAGCTATCGTAGAATTTCAAGAAGAAACAGACGTTCTGAGATATCTCCTCCAATTTATGTATCACCAAGCCGTATGTAATAGGAAGATCGTTATCCTCATTGTCAGAAATGGATGACTGATATCTAGAAAAATGCAGTCGACAGGCTGACATTTCAAAAATCCAGGACTTACGCTGCGTTGTCCTCTGGATTTGTGCCGGTTTCAATTCGCGACTTCAGCAACTGGCTTGTCTCCAAGCGACGGGCTGAAGGGGACACAGCGAGCCCACCCCGGCGCCGCCTCAAAAAGTGGTCATTGTAAACTATTTGATAGCTAAATTAATTGCTGGTGACACCTACCCTCCCTGACTCATCTGCTTCTGGCGATCGGGACACTTGTGCTGGTAGAGGTTTGAACGAAACTTGTATGTCTAGACAAAACAATGGCAGCAGATCCAGGAAGACATAAACAATTATGCTGGAAACACAACCTTGAAGCAAAATTTGCACTTAAAGGGACGGTCATTCGAGTGCTTCACTGCGTGCTGCTTTAGATACCAAACCGAGTTGAAAAGCTTTCCACAGTCCTGATACGTTCAAATGAGGTTAAATGGAAGTTTGACATTTATGCTCTTAAAACTTACTTTACACGCGCATTGCTGATTTTTCTCCAGAGTGACGTTGATACTGTCTACTTCCGTTGGACATATCACTATGGGAGGTGGGGGAGGCTCGTTCTAAAGATACAGAGTTGGCTACAAAAACAATTCAGTTATGGTAGTATTTGGCATAATTTTCCGAGCTCATCAGTGGACTCGCTCTAGCACGACCTCGACAAACATTACTTCATCAAAGCTTCAAATAATTGATAATGAAAATGGCTCCAAAAGTCCACATCTACTTCGTCGACTCCAGACTAA